AACAAATGTGTTGATCTTCTAGCCTATAAAACGCCTTATCATAATTTTAATATTTGTATCTTTGATAACCCGCCCCCTGAATGTAATAGCCTTATGGCTATAGACATGACAAGATATTAGTCTCTTACACGAGTTTCCTATGGTTAAAAAAATCATTTTATATTTTTAACAAAATAAAAAACATTTGAATGATTGTTTTGGATTTAATATTTTTAAAATTATCATTCTTATTTTTATTTTTAAAAATAAAAATAGAAACATCTTACAATTATTTTCTTTTGGCTAAAATATATAAAGCTTCCCTGAACTTTAAAACATTTGCATATGATTCCCCTCTCCTTTTTTTGCTAACACTCCCCCACTTTTCAACATTTAAAATTAACCTCCTAAAATTTTTTTTTCAAAACCTCCTACCATTAATTAACTATTATTTATCAATGTAATTATTGTCATGTCTTATTAATGCAATATATATATGGCATATGACATGAAAAAATATTTTTATTATTTTTGAACACAATTTAATAAAGGGTAAAATTGTAACTTTTACTTTTAACATGCATAATGATACTTTCATTTTTTTTTTAGTTTAATGACATTATTTTTATTATTCACAAACAATATAATTTAAGAGAAAAATTATAATTTTATTATTATTTATTAATTAAAATATATTTTTATATTAAAAAAATAAAAAAATATCTAAAAGCTGTCATTGATAAAAGTCATATAAATTTCATTATCTACTTTTTTTTTTTTTTTAGACTCTTATCTTTTAGTAGCTATTATTTTCTCCTTTGAATAAACTTTTAAGTACTTACTCAAACAAAAATATATGTTATTGATATACCACAAATGAAATGTATGTCGCTTTAGAATAAGATATTTTTTTTATTATTGGTGATTTGTATTGATTTTGTTAAAAACAACTCGTCAAATATCATAGTTTTCTTGTATTAAAGGGTTAATTTTTATTTATATGATTCTTATCAATGATAGGTTTTAGATATTTTTTCTATTAGTTTAATATAAAAGGCTATTTTAATTGATAAAAAATAATAATATTATATTTTTTTCTTAAATTATGTTACAATGAGAACAATGTCACTCAACTAAAAAGAATGAAAGCATCATCATGTATATCATAAGTAAAAATTATAGTATTGCCCCTTCTTAAACTATGTTAAAAAATAATAAAGAATATTTTTTTATATCATGTGCCACATGTATTGCATTAATCTGATATGGCAATAACTATATTAATAAAATAATAATTAACTAATAGTAGGAGTTTTTGAAAAACAAAATTAAAGATTAGTGGGGTTAATTTTAAATGTTTAAATGTGAAGGAAGCACAAGCTTAATGGGAAAGCATAACCTAAAAGACTAACCTGTTAGGTAGAAAAATCTTTTAAACTTATAAACTGTACACCACTTTTGAGGCTCCTCGATGTGAGACTCGTGATAATGTCACCCCATCGAGAGATGACGTCCCCGATAGGTCCACTCCATGACACTTTACTCGACTTCCTACTAGTCAAAACCCTCTATGGATAGCCTTTTTGTGATACCGACCTCTTAATAAAAACACCCATGTAATGAGTACAAATTTAAAAAGAGAGTTCGTCTCAAAAGATTACCATGTTGGCTAAAAAATCCATATGCAACAGCCACAAAATTTAGAGAAATTTCATATATTTTAGCCTTTCCTTTTTTTTATTTTTAATGCATACTAAATTATTATGGTAAATTACCTTTAACTAGATTTTTTTAAAATCTAAAATTATTTTTAAATTAACATAATTAAACAGATTTTATTTTATTTTATACTAGAAAATAATTTTAAAAACTATATTAAAAAAGCCAACACAATCAAACAGCCTAAATGTCTTTTTCTTAAAATATCAAAGGTCATTGCGGGAACCTCGGTTCATGCCTTTTAAATCAAAGATCATTGCATGAACCTCGTTTCGCGCGGCTTCGCCCTCGTTTCGCGTCAATGGCAATTAGCAAGGAAAATAACGATAATAATTATCATGGTTACCCCTGTGGCGGAGTCAGATCCAGAATCAAGAGTATAAAATAATATAATTTAAAAATTTATAATTTTTTAAATAATAATTTAAACAATCAAAAATAATAATTACACTATCACTAAAATTGTAATAGCAAAGGTAAATTGATCATCATTTTTTTAAAAAAAATTATACTCCCTCCATTTCAAATTATAAAACACTTTTAAACAAAATTTTACATATCAATAAATTCATTAAATAGACTTAACAACCTTATTTTTTCCAAACAAAAATATAAACTTTTAAAAATACTCATTATTTAATATATTAAAAAGAAAAGAGATAAAAATTAATTATAAAAAGAAAATGAATAATATTCAAATTAATGTATTTAATAAAATATTAATCTACTTAAAATATTTTATATTTTAAAATTAAAAAACTCTTTTAAAAATATTCTAAAACGAAGAGAGCATTGAACATGTTAATATAATTTTTTATATAAATATTTTATTCATATATTATCTCAATCATCAAAATATTACACATCCGATCAACTTTTGAGCTCAAATATTAAAATATTTTTTCTGCACAACTGCTATGATATCCTTGAGTCCAGCAAATACGGGTCAAGTGGCTTTTTCACAAACTTGTGACCAATCTAGAAATAGGCGCTAGCTATCATAGTTAACCAAAACATCAAATTAGATAATTTTTCAATAAAATTAACGAGTCTAATTCTTGTAAACAATCATGACTACCTAGTTCAATTGTCTCAAAACATTATTAAAGAATCACACATTGTCATGTTTTTACAAACAATCTCAAAAACGCGTATAGGAACAACCTAAATGTAATCTTATAAACCCATGAACTAGCAAGGCATCTCATATCTATGCGTATCACCTAAATGCACAGGACTCAAATATCAACATAGGCCCACACTATGCCTATGAATAGTTTTCACCAACAAAGTTTTCAAGAATTCTCATAAAAGTCCTTTGCCCAGGAAAAAAAAAAAAAAAGGTCTTTGAACTTCACCAGACTCATAAAAGTCCTTTACCCAGGAAAAAAAAAAAAACAAAGGTCTTTGAACTTCACCAGACTCATAAAAGTCCTTTGGACGCTCAATATATAATATACTTCCAGATAACTATTTCAAACAGTATTGTTGGAACTGGGCCTGATTGGCTGATTCAATCAAGAACTGGCCCATGGTCTAATCCAGTCACCCCTAGAATTAGGGGTGGAGAGGGGCTCCCAAACTTTTAAATTTTTTTTAATAAAATATTGAGATTATATATTTTTAACTCTCCAAAGTTAGCATATTATAAAAAGTTATAAAATACTAAATAAAATTTTTATTTTAATTTTATATGTAGTCTATTATATATTTATAAAGCAACTATTTCAATAGCTTAAATATATGGTTGTCATATAATTTATTTATTTTTAACAAAATAATGTTATAAATGCTCTTAAAGTATTAATATTATTTTATTTTGCTTTCATTTTATATTTGATGAAAGAAATTATGAAAATTATTATTAACAAACTTTATTAAGTATTAAAATAAAAATTTCAAAATATATTGAATATTATGTTCTTGATATTTACCATAAACTTACTTATCCAAAAAATTAATGTGCTTGATATATTGAAAGAAATTTATGATATAAATAATTTTTATTATGATATAATTCAATAAGTTGAGCATTATTACTGTGTTTATATATTTATTTACTACGATTATCAATTCATAAAATTAAATAATAAATTTAATATATAAGTAATGAAACTCATTACATTGAACAAAACTTTAGATTTTAATGATGCATTTTAAATCATTTAATACTCATAGGTATGATAAAATTTTCACCCACTTAATGGTAATTTACATCGAGAAGAAAATTGCTAAAACATTTATCGTAGATATATATATACATATATAAATCAATGAGCAAAATTTAATATATATATATATATATGTTATATATGTGTAAAATTGAATATAAATAAATATGTTAAAATATTTACTCTCTCCGTTTAAAAATATTAGACATTTTTAATTGAATCTCACCTCCCAATAAAGTAGTTATCTATTTTCAAACTAACCTTATCTTTTCATATTTACCCATATTAAATATCCTATAATAAATATAAAGTCATTCATTAATAGGAACACTTTTAATAAAAAGACAATAATTACACCTCTAAATACTAAAAATACCTTATATTTTTAAACATCCAACTCCTCAAAAAATACCTTATATTTTTAAACGGAAGGAGTATATGAATAAAAGTTACCTATTTTTAAATTAATCTTATCTTTTTATATTTACCTCTATTAAACACCCTATAATAAATATAAAATCATTCATCAATAAAGATACTTTTAAAAAAAATAATAATTACACCTCAAAAAATTAAAAATATCTCATATTTTTTAACATTCAACTCCTCAAAAAACACCTTATATTTTTTAATATAAAGTATATTTTATCATTTTAACCCGTTTCAATAAAAATTCTTGGCTCCACCCCTACCTGAAACTAAGAAAAAAGGAGCCTATCAAGACCAGTGAAAATTGATAAAAACCAGTTTTCATTTTAAAAAAAAATCAATAATCCAAAATTAAGCTGCTTTATAATTTTGTCCCGTGGTTAATTTTTGCTAGTGTTACATATATATTTGATAAATTATAGGTGATTTTAGTTAGTTAACAAAAGGTTGTGTTGGTTTGGTTAGGAAATTAATGACATCTGATTATTTGTCATTTGTAATGGACAATAAATGGTTTTATCATAACATAGGTGCAATTGACAAATTTAACATACATGATAAGGATATAATTAAATGTTGTCTAAAGTATTTTTATTTTTCATATATATTCTTTCAATTTTATTATTTTAAATAAGACCGGTCAAACTACGATTTAACCATGGTTTAGCGAACCAACCTTGATTGGTTCAAATATCCAATCCATTCTGACAACATTTAACTCCAACAAAAAGGCCCTTAATGAAGGTCCGATCATTCATTACAAACCGTTTTACAAGATAGGCTAATTACCTACCAGTTAATCTGTACTAACTCATGCTATCATCGTAAGTTATCAATAGTATAGAACTAGAAACACTAACATCAATATTTGGCACTAACACTAAGGCTTTGCTTCCGTCCGTAATTAACATAACTGCTATAATGTGCACAAGGTTAAGCAGAATCAACTTTGCAATGGATAATCATTATCAGACCAGCCCACATTAGGATTAAAGTCGTTGACAAGATGTCAACCATTGATGATTGACTTATAATGATCAGTTATAGCTTCATAAATGGCGCCTTCCTCAATAAGGTTTTTTATAGATAACCTGCAAAACCAGAACCTGCGTCAACAGAATTATGCCAGGCAACGTGGGAAGGGGAAGGAGTTATAGGATAGGCAGACACAGACATGAGCTTATCCAAAGGAATTCCAAGATGCTGTGCAATAAGGTCCCGAGAGACACCCTCCTCTTTGACACTGAAACATCAGAGATAAAGTCGAGTAACGGACCAAGTTTTGCACATAAAAATTCCAACAAAAAAAGGATCTGTGCATAATAGGATAATACAACAGAATATAATGACAAGGAAATTTTGAAGAACATAAAAAGTTACAACCACATGCACCTTAGCAAGCACTACAGGTACACTTCAATTTTAAGCAAGCTTTTGTATATCAACCTTGCAATATATAATCAAATGTATTGTTCCAATACTTAGTTGACTCAGCTTGATTCTGATTCTTGCTTATCCCATGAAACTCTCATACTTGATATTACATGCCATTGTCAATTTTCTTTTGTTTGTTTAAAAAGAAAGATTTAAATTACTTTGCAGCAGTCACGTAGAAGAGCCTACAATCTAGATATTAGTCTTTGCATTAATGGAAAAGATTATCATGCCAACTTTACATGCAAGAACCCGATAGATTAATTTACTCATTCACGAATAGGATACCTAGGAAAAAATTTCTTTCTAACGTGTTGCATGTTGCATGTTGCTATATAAAAGAAATGTATAAATGAACAGACGCACATGAAGAACGAATGCATGGATACATCAATCAAGCAAAACAAGGGCGGCCAGAAGGAAGGCAACGGAGTCGGCCATATGTTCAATAAGATCAAATAATGAACATACATAAATCAAATTTTAGAATTACCTGTTCGAGGGAAGATGCAAGATATCTAAGACCATATCTTCAACATTCTTCTGACCGTTGTTGTGCTGACCAGAGAACTAGGAAGGACAAAGAAATCTACATCAAATCAGATATTAATAAAATGGACAAAAATAAACTGGACATTCATAAATAGTCCTCTCACTTGATTTGGAGGGGCAGGTTCATAACCTCTCGTGGGATTCATAGGTAAAGAATTGTTCATAGATTGCTGTTTTGGCACACTACTCTGTCAATTTTATGATGTAAAATGAGAAAATTGAAAGGAAAAAAAAAAAAAAACAATTGACAGCACTTCCGAGCAAGAATCATATATATGCATTAATGTCATGTCAAACCCAGATATAATTTGCGATATTCTAACTAATACCCGTATCCTGGTATTATAGAGATGGACGTATATACAATCAATGAAGTGACTTGCAATCTCGTTAAAGTCGTTCAAAGGCCTGGAAACAACAGCAGTGTAGATTTCAAAAGTAGGAAACAAGGACCGAATAAATACGCAAACAACTACTATAGAACTTTGCTAATGTCAAAATAATATAGCTATCAAACCGTCTTAGAAGTGTCCATGAAAAATTAATGATAACCCAAAAGAGTCGTTTAAATAAACTTTTCCACATCAAATATCACTTTCGATATTAATAGCTTGAATTTCAAATGAACCCGACAAAAAAAAAAAAAAACCTAAAGAATGCAAAATATCGACTGTGTCTCATCATTCACTCGGTGACATGATCACTCGTCCGTTTACACTGATAATAATATAGGATAGTCAACCAAGTCACTCGGTAACCATTCATCCTACTCAACTTATTATTACCGTTAAGATTTATACCAAAAACAAAAAGGTAGAAACAGGGAACTGGAGCTGAGACTATTAGACTGACCCAATTATACAAGGGTTTATGCATGAAAGATCAGAGGAGTGTTTGATGAGGTGGTTGGAAAAAACTGTTTAAGAAGGAAACCTGCCATAGGAAAAACAGGGAAGAGAACCTTAAAGATAAAAGTTAGGTAGAGAGCTAGACTGTCGAAAGTTAGCACTGTGTCATTATCATCTTATTGACTTATTCATTTATTCTCTTGTTCTATTCTGCACTGTGTAGCGCCCAGATTGTTCTGCGATATTACTAATTTCTCGTGCTGAATGAAAGAATATTAGCTGGTTCTTGTCTTGTAGCCTCTGGTTTTCATTTGTGATGGGTCTAGAGGTGTGTAAATGAAGAGTGTGCTTGGTCAGTCGCATTCGACTGAATTTTGTTGGCCCTAGCATGTGTCTGTGTGAGATACTCATACTGTGAATTGGATGCTGTAACCTGACCAAGCAGTACTACCGCTTCAATGTAAAATTGCCAATATAAGTGTCTTGCTGTGTTCTTGGTGTTATTCTATCATGATTTAGCAAGGTTCCTATCATGCATTTCTCAACCCACCAATCTTTTGTGAGTAGTCATTTATAGCCTGGCAGTATTGCATATAGAAGAAAATTAAAAATACTGAACTGCTAAACTTAAATAATTAGAGGTGATATTCATATCACACCTAAAAGAGAATACATTTAAGGTCCTTTTGCCCTGAAAACCTTTCAAGTGTCCATGTAAGCGCACATACATTGCATCCCTAAAAACAAAAGGAAAAAAGAAAAACAAAAACAAAAACAAAAGGAGTTACTACATTTCATGAAATTAAATAAACAACACAAGTCTTATCCCAATGAATAGAGTTGATTACATAAATCGGACCACGGCCAATGTATTCTATTAACAATCAAATTTTTGAATATATTATTAACTAAAAAGTTTCGTTCAATAACTTCATTGAATAAACAATTTGTTCAAAAATGAAGCATTGGCAACTAGAAACTTTAACATCATAAAACCTCTCACTGCAAAATGGCAAATTGCCAACTCATAAATTCATATTAATTCTATCAAGTTACAATGCTAAAAAGTTCGATTGCAGTTGTCATTTATAACCCAGAAAATTTCCTTGTTTAAAGAAGAGACTAATGAAACAATTAAAAGGTCCTGAAACTAACAAATCATCAAAATATAACTAAGCGAACATAGCACCAACATGAGTAGTAAACACAAAACAAGCAAGATTACCTGATACCCTCCGCTTCATTCGTGTCTGCATCTTCCTGGAGCCTACGCATGCAAAATTACCGGTCACCGAAAATTTAAAAGACCACTAAAAGTAAACTGTTTTTTTATTTTTTTTAAAAAAAGCAAGACATGACAAATAATAAAATTCACCATTTACTACACTCAATCCTTCCAGTCCCATCATCCAGTACAAAAGTAACATCAGTAATCCTTCCAGCTTTGTTGCACACCCTTCCTACAAGAGTGACCTAGACACGATATTAACTCAAACTATCAGAAGAAGAGAAAAGCAAACCACAATCAAACGTCGATTCAATTCAAGAAACTCACATTATTAACATCCACGCCATCGATAATCATATTAGACTTATCATCGCTGGACTGAAATGCATCATTTATCTGCTTGACCGTCAGAGGAAGCAATGACTGAGCATCACGATTCTGCAAAAGCGAAGTATTAAGTCGGTTCAGGAGTTAACTCTCCGCAGTAACAAAGATTAGCTCAACGAATAATTTTCACCAATATTCCCAAAAAAAAAAATCAAACCAAAACGCAGCAAAACTATTTGGTTGGTAATTGCTCAAAGGAAATCAAAACAGATAAAATAAAACAGAACATATTGAATCAACTGTCGCAATTCAGCGATCAGCAAACCAAAACCCTAATCGCACTTGCCAGAAAACTCCAAACATCCGAACAGCAGAATGTAAGAGCATGAAAACAGTAAAATGAAAGAAAAAAGAAGTATGCAAGAGCAATGTACCTTGGAGTAGGAAAAGGAAGGTTCAGGGCCTTGAGTTGCCTGAGAAGGCATAAAACCACCACCGGAGAAGGCCGTGGCACCGTCGAACTGGCTCGAATGCATGATCGCTCTATGTGCGGTTGGGGAATCAAAACCCTTATTGTAGAGAGCAGTGGAACAGGATGTCCTAATCCAGAATATTTGAAACTGAAATTTCTATCTAGCACTAGAACTGGTGGGCTTAAAATTCTTTGATACGAAAATGAATTAGTTTCGCGCCATTATTCTTATATTATTTTTCATTACCTCTGCCCCTCTTAAGTCTGAGCCTCCTCTGCGCGGTTCTTCTTTTAAAAATATATATATATTGGACAAAATTTTTCTATTTTTATTACATCATTGCTAACATTACTCTTGATGTATTTCTTCTGTTCTAATTTATAATATTTTTTTATGAAAATATAATTTTATTAATAATATTTTTTTATTATATTCTCTTTTTGATATTATTTTACAAATAAAATATTAAATAAAAATATTTTTAATTTATACTTTTATTTTAAAAATAAAGTTATAAAATATATTTAATAAATTTGATTAATATGCTTAATTTTAAACAAATGCAGTGACCAATTCAAAAAAATCAGTTAGAGGAAACAAAATTATGCTTTAGATAAATATCACTATTTTTGTTTGGATTAAAATATAATTTCTTTTTCCAAATCCAATCATTTAGGCTAAAATCTAATTTGTGACCCAAGAGGTCAAGCTCAACTATTTGAGCTAAAAATGATAATTTTAGCCTAAATTTACCAAAACCCTCTAAAAAGGTAGAAATTATAGAAAGACTTGTTTAAAGATAGAGTTAAGAAAAAACTGTCACTTTATATTTGTAAAAAGAAATGTAAGCTACTATGTCAATATAAATCTCTCCAATTCTACAAACAACTCTACATACTACACACAATTTCTCTGAACACTTTGACAAGCTCAACTCCAAAATCTATTTGTTTGATACAAAATTTTTAACCCTGTGTCATTTTTTATTTCGCCCAACATGACTCCTTTTATCCTTTTAACATATTCAACACAACATCCTTAGTGTGTTACGCATTCACTAAAGAGCACTAAAAGTTTTTTGACAACCAATAGCGTACCAACTCCTATCAAAACAGCAACAATAGTGTGCCAAGACTTTTCCTTTTAGTTTTCTATCTTTTATTTCTTATAATTTTTTATCATTATTAATATCATGGCTGCTTTTCACCATGCAAGTCTCGCATGTTTTTTCATCGTTGTTCATTCATTCACATTAATTTTAACCATTTGTATCCTGAAAAAAATGTAGTAAAGAACCTCAGGAACTTGCCATTTGATTTTAGAAATCAAAAACATTGCACCTTTTGAGGACATGCTCCTCTAACATGCCCGCACAAAAAAGACCGAAAACAATTTTTAATATTAATTGTAATAACCCAGTCAAGAAAAGAAAAGAAAAGAAACGAAGGGAATTTAATTATTGTTAGATATTTTGATAATATTTGTAATGATCCAAAATTTAATTAAAATTTAAGTTGATAGTAAGGTATTGTGTGTGTGTGTGTGTGTGTGTGTGTGTCTATATATATATATGTACATGTTGTTATAGACTTAACAACAAGGAGAGTTGGTCTGTCGTCACATGTGAATTAAAGAAAACTTTAAAATGTTGCTCTGTCATCTATCATTTTGCGTAAAACTTTGTTTTGGTGGCTATGGGGTGCGTTGGTTTCTTCTTCTCCTCCTCTTTCCTAGCACAATCTTCCCCTCCTCCTTCGTGCTTCTGTTATCGTGGCCATAGGTGAGGATTTTTATTTCTCCTCCCTCCCTGATTTGTGTTGTCGTCGAACACTATTAAGGGGGTCCTACCGAACTCACAGCTTTATCTGTTGTCGTATTCATTGCTGGAGCATCTTAAGTAGAGTATGCTGTCGTTGCTGCATTTCATGTGGTGAGTGTAACTCCTCCGTTCCTTCCTCTGTTCCGTCAACTCCTTCTCTTCCTCTTTAATTCCCTGAGCTTATATTTATGTGTGTGTGTTTAATGGTTGGAATTTTTTTTTTTAGATGCTATATGACTGGGCTATTGGTTGAAGTTCAGGATTTTCCCTTTTCTTGTTCATATTTCCGTGAGCAATGTGGATATAGAAATTGGGTTTTCTTCATGTTTGAGATTGATTTTTCTTATTAATGAGTATATTTGAGAGGCTGATTGATTCAATATTTATATTGTAAAATTTTCGGATGAAGGAATCAAGGAGGAAGAGGTTTGGCTTAAGTTTAATAATTAATGCGTGAAAGGTATTTGACAAAATACCTGTTAGAAAAAGTTTTACTTGATTTGATAATTTTCTGAAATTTTATTAATTCTATTGAGAAGTATATGGGCTTTAGGTACTATAGTATTGCAAACAAATTTTATGAATATAGAGCTAGTGTGTAACTAAGTGAATTCATAAAAATTGTAGGGTTGTTAGGAAATTTTTGGACTAAGAGATCTAAATGTCAAAGAGTGTTACTTGGTAGTTGAAAATGATATACACACTAGGTATTGATAAAAAGTATAAGAGGGGATTGTATTTTAATTGAATAAATAGCTATGGCTATGGATAAGCCTTTAGGTGTAAATCTTGGATATCAAACTTTAACATCATTATAGTTAATTATTGATTGATTTAACTTTAGAAGGGAATTTGTGCGATATGAATAAAGGCTATTAATTAATTCTCTATATATTTATATAGGATGTTGAGAAGAAGATGAACTTTTCAAAAGTTTTAAGAAGTGAATTTTAAATATTGAGAATACTACAGATAAGTGAATAGCTTTTCAATAATTTATTAGCAAAATTCATTTCATTAAGAAATATTGATTGAGCATATTCATGTATATGTTTGTGTGTAATGCTGTGATTTTAATGCTATTTTGTATATTGATTATTATATATGAAAATTTTCATTATATCAAATTTTATAGAAAGAGTTAAAATTTTGTTTCAAATGAATGTCGTAAGAATTATTATTACAATGATATTTTTGTATTTGTCGCTTTAAATTTAACTATTACTTTTGTTGAGATAGATTTCATTAAGGCAAGTTATTCGAATTACTTCTCTTTCTCATTGATATTTAAAGATTAGTCTAAAATAAAAATTTTATTTGATAGTATTTATTTATTTATTTTTACATTGACTGTAACACTCATGCGTGAAACATATTAACCCTTCTAGATATCATTCATGAGATCTCGTGTCAAGAAAGTTTTATTTTCAACAATATCTTTTTATGAATTTTAATATTTGAAAAATGACATGGTGTTCCAATCATAATTTGATTTCATGCAAGTTTGAAAAATATTTCAGTGCAATTAAATACAGAATACTAGTTGTTAATAGCAGTTCTGTTAACCCTTAGCATATCATAGTTAAACCTTAGCAAGCTTAGTATTCGTGAGCATCGTACTTACGCTTGTTTTATGGGCCTTGTGCCTGCGCTTATTATTTGTAAATTTTATATTTGCGCTTGTTTCATGGCTTCTAACCTTCTAACCGCACTTATTCATTTTGTGGCTTTAAGCCACACTTGTTAGTTATTTTCTCTCATGGACTGTGTATTCACGCTTGATTGGTGATTTACTCTCCTAGACTGTATGTCCACACTTGTTGGTTATTTACCTTTATGAACTATGTGTCCATGCTTGTTAATAATTCTGTCCTATAAATTATGAAATTTTGAAACTTATTGTTTTTTTTTAAAATTAGTTTTGCTAAATATGTAACAGCCTTCACCCCACCCCACCAGGGATCTTTTGGACTGGAGCCTTAACCATTGAGTCAAGTTAACTCAATAGTGCCTGACTTAGCCTCAACTTCATTAAGGTAGTAGGGGTTGAGGTTTGAGTCTGGGAAGGCTCTAAAAGATCTCTTTGGTGGGGTGAGGAATAACCCAAGTATCACCTTAGAGAAAGATGGGCCGGCTGCGCGAGTGGTTAAGGCTCCAATGTAAAAGAACCCTGGTGAGGTAGGGTGAGGATTGTTACAAAATAAGTTGTTTGTTCAACCATGCATGTGTTTCTCTTTGTAAGATGAATTATATAATTAAGTTATTTAAGGCAAAGGTCATGTTTGAAAGTTGAATCTTGATGTTTCCATTGCCCTTAACCAACCTTTTATCTATTTGGTTTACATATTTTTATGAGATTATTTGAACTATGCAACATGTTTTATTTTTATTACAATTATGGTTATCACTATGAAATTCATAATTGTTTTATAAATATCATCTGCCTTTACTTTTTTATCTAAATTGGGATGTTATGCATTGAAAAGCTAATTTTTGTCTTAGATTTATTAGACGATGCTAAACTTCTTGTTGACTTATAAGGGTCTTATAACTGAGCTAGTGAAAATTTGATTGAAATTATTTCCTTTTTATGTAATTATAGAATTATGTATTTTATTTTGAAAATATAGTTAAATTCTTCACACAAACCATAATTAAGGTTTTATTGTTGCTATATATTTTGTTCGTTGGTTGAAAGGAACAAAGCTCTTAGTTGTTGTGGTATTTTGTCTAAAATTGTATTATAGAATTTTTGAAAAGCTTTATTTATGGGGGAGATGTTGCCGAAATTTTTACAAAAAGTTTATGAACCTTTAGCTTATATGAAAATGTTACAATGACCTCTTATCCTACTTTAAATGAATTAAAATATTAGATTAAAATTTTCTTGACTAAGGTCTAAGGGATGTATTCTTGTGTATATATCTTGTGTCAGTCACATCTAATTTTTTAGGCATGATATTAATTTTGTTTTAAATTTAATTAGATCTAAAATTTATTAAAAGCTAAATATCCCTAAAGAACTAAGCAGAAAATAAAAAATTAAAATAACATACAAATTACATTTATTAGGATTCTGCCTTTTTATTTTAATTAGAAAACTTAACTTTTGTTTTAGGTTTTTTGGATTTCAATAAAAATAATAATTAAAAATTGATTAACAAAACATCATAATATTTAGATAATATTTTTTAAAATTAATTTTTATAAAATTAAAGACATTTTTTAAAAATTATTTTTAAATGGAAAAAAAAGTAACTTATGCCAAAATAGAGTTTGAAGGGGTACCTGAAATTTCAAAAAGCTTATGAAAAAATAAAAGGAATTTGTGAACAAATGAAGCGTTTGGATAATTTTTTTTCAAAACCTTGATTTGGGGTTCCATAATTGATTATTCGTGAGCATCCAAACACACCTTGGTGTAAAATTTTTTGTGATAAAAATTTCAATTTAAACAATAAAAATTATTTTCTAAATTCTTGCTTCTTTCATTCTAAACTCTTGTTATTTAAGGTTATATAACACATAAATGGTCAAATAAATATTTTAGGGAATAAGTAAATGTTTTATGGGGACAATTTGTTTTTTTCTTGGGAGGGGACTAGGGAAATTGAAATTTTTAAATGGGAGTAAATGAAATATTCTGTGTCATTACACACACATATATTGGTTTGTGAGGACAATTATCCCATTACCCTACACATGGGTCAATTTTGATTTAAAAGTATCTTATAAATTAAAATAAATATATGATTATGCAATACACATAATGAAAATTATATATAAATAGTATGAACTTTGATATTTTGAACTCATTTTCCTGAAACTCAAATTCATAAAATTATAATTTTTGGATTAGTAATATTTCATTTGAACTGCTTCTTTTTTTTTTTAGAAAAATCTAAAGTCAAAGTATATTCAAAGGAGGCCATTATTAGTACATATAAAAGGCCTAATTTGAAAGTGGGGCCAAACACAAAGAAATAAAAGCGAACAAACCAAATGCAAATCAAATATGCATCTGCCTCCTTTTCACAATAAGGGCAATTGCGCGTCATTTAAATTTTACTTTCTAAGTGGTGGGAGTAACCATTCGTGCCACTCTGGAGAAGAGGGGGTTCTGCACGTGGAGGAGGTGCTCCGCGTTTTGAGGAGATTGTGAGATCCTGAGTGATTCATGGCTCTCCTAGGTCTCAGCTCTTGTGGAACGTATCATCTCATTAATCTCGAGCATTGGTTGTAAAGTTGAGAATAAAAGTTGAGCTTAAAAATTTTATTTAAATAAAAATTTAAATTTTAAAAATTAATTTTTTTTAAAGTATGACTTGAGGATTTAGTCTTAATAAGTCTTGTAAAAAGGGGTTCGAGCTCGAACGGCCCTTTAAACCCATTTATGTTATTATTAATTTTTTTTTTTGTGGAACATGTGTGAGAAGCTAAGAAGAACCTACTTACCTAAAGTTTTGATCCTACAAGTATTATATTATTATTAATTTTAATTTATTTTAAAATTAATTTAATATAATTTAGTAAATATTAGTGTACAATATAAAATTTATGGTATTTTTTATTTTTTATAATTATTATACTTGTATATTTATAAAAAAATGGACTATTTTTTAATCATGACTTGAATTTTATAATTAGACTTCTAAATGTGTGTTGTTTAATTTTTAAAAGATTATGAGAATTTTAATTTTTTTAATTTTAAAATATTTTAATTAATTCATAATGCTTAATATTTTTTATTATTATTTTTTTCAGAACAAGATTTGCAAGCTTGATCCTAAACCATTTAAATAAGGGTTAGATATCAGAAAATAGGTGAAAAATAAAAAATCAAATTTAAAGATTCTTATGGCCAAGCCCGTCCATTTTTCAGCCCTAGTTGGTTGCTCCCTCTAAGTTCGTTGATTGGGCTCCCGTCTCCTTTACCCATCAAGTCCCAATTGCATGGAATTCGGCCCACTAATACGTAGGCTACACAACTTTACTGACTTTTATTTTTACTGTTTCAATGCTAGATCACATTTTTTTTTTTTACCAAAATGCTTGATCACGTTAATAAAGGTAGAAAAAAGAGATATGATATTATGTTGATTAAAAGATTTTAATTTTTAATGTGAAAATTGAAATTGGCTAAAAAAAATTAAAAATTCTATCAATACAAACATTCAGGCTTATTCGAATGAATTCAAAAGGCTGAGATGATAAATCTGGTTTGGTTATATAATTTTTTTTATATATATTTGGGCATTTCAAATCTACTTTTGAATTTCAGCCTGACTTGAATAAGTACAGAAAGCATGAATTAGCCGCGTGAAAGAAAAGGCACAAAAGGTAAACGCGTTAGAGAAGAAGAAATGCAAAGGAAAAATATTATAATGAAAGTGGAAATACAATAATGAAAGTGGACTGAACGGCGGACAAGAACAAAGTTGAAAAAAAGCACCAGTCTACGTTAAAAATTCTAAATTCAGATTGATAATATATCATTTTTTTCCACTCGAAAGTTCTTCAAAACATTAAACGCGTAGATTGATATATCAATAATCAACATCTCTTAATTGACATAATTATTATGCAACTTCCCTAATCTTAGTTTCCCCCTTCGTCTCCTTCATCAGCAAATCAATGGCTTGCTTCTGCTTCGATTCTAAATCATCGAATTCGAGTCCCAAATCTGAAGCCGGACGGCCTAACGACGTGTTCTTGACCTTCCGAGCCAAGCACGTTTCACTAAAATTTCTCCAAAACTCGATCCAAGATGCCACAATCAAAACATTCACTAGCTGCCGGGAAAATATCATCCCAATCCTGTTGGGAGCCATCGAAGAGTCCAGAATTGTTATCGTTAATTTCAATGAAGAGTTCGGCAATTCCAAATACTATCTGGAAGAGCTGCAGAAAATGATGAAGCTTACCAGAAATGAGGGTAAAATGGTGCTAGCCGTTGTGCGAGGCATTAGGTCTTCGGATTTACATCAGCAGATCGGCAGGTTAGCGGAATTAGCATTGGGAACTTCTTCATTATCAGGCTGTAGAGTGTCGACACGAACCCACAGGCCGAGGCAAGTACCTCCTTCATTTATTTTATCTGCAAATTTGGACGATCTAATTGTCCATTAATATATTTTGAATTATTTTTCATCTTTACACTAGTAACATTTATATTGTTCGTTGAATATCTTATTTTATTTATTAGTTGAATTTGTTAAATCACAGCTGATATTTATCCATGACAATCTGAAGTCATGAATATGATTGTTGTTGTTGTTATTATTATTATTATTATTATTTGGCTTAACTATTATAATCTTCCAAGTCTGAGTTGCATACAAGTGACCTATCATAAACCTCTTTTAACAGTTAAAACTTTACAATAAACTGTCAGATTTTTACATTCATACAAATAATTCTTAGGCCATTAAATATAAGGAAGAATTATAATTAGGTCTCAAGAAAAGAAATTACTTAATTTTTCAGTCCCATTTACAAGTTAAACATCTATATCTACATGTTAAATTTTAGTATTTATAAATAGCTGGGCCCATTGAGTAATATAATAGAAAGTTTATTTATACATGGTTTAAAGTTTATCAATTACCTACACATAATTCAAATTTTTGAGGGTTTATCTATGTAAAAGAAATATTCCATCCGATTCTACATGTAAAATAACTTTTAAGAAGACGTCTTTAGTCTTTTTTTTCATTTTGAGAAAATTAATCTTTTAATCCTTCAACTTTTAACTCACTTGTAACTTAGTCCCTCAACTATGACTCGCGGCGACTCAATCCTTCAACTATAACTCGCTGCAACTCAGTTCCTCAACTTTTGATTTACCTATAACTCGATCCTTATTTTTTAATTTTTTTAAAATTTTTTTATCAAATAAGAGGGGTAAAAAATGCTCATATATTATTTTAAAATACCCTCTTCTTATTCATTAATGTGAGATAGAAGTTAACATGAAAAAAAAATTAACAAAAGTTAAGGGACTAATTTGTAAGTGATTCAAAAGTTGAGGGATTGAGTCATAGGCGAATTATAGTTGAGGGACTGAGTCACAGCGAGTCATAGTTGAGGGATTGAGTTATAAGTGACTTAAAAGTTGGAGGACTAAAAGATTAATTTTTCCTTTCATTTTTGATTTTATAGGTTTGTTGAAATATTAATTTTTTTTTTCATATATGCCATGTGTTGGAAACTGTGATGTGGGGATGTGTTTCCTCTGGAGGAGGGTTTTCTTGTTTTGCTTTAGAGCATGTTTGGTTAGAAAGGATAAGTGAAATTTTAATAAAGTGAGAAAAGGAGAATGAGGGATTGCCTCTATCATCCCCTTGTCTCATTCAAATTAAGGGAGAGAAATTTTTATTAAAATTTTTCCTTCTCTTAAGCCAAACATAGTGTTACTTTTATTTTTTTTTAAATCACCATTTGATCAGAACTTTTCAATAGTTTAGATTTAATTTTTGATAAAATTATTTTTATATAAGATATATAAATACAATATTATAATTTTAGATATTGAGATTAAATTTTAATAGTTCAAATTTATTTATATATTTTTATGTAAAATTAAAATAATAATTTTGCATAAAAAGTATAAACTTTAATATTTTGATCTTTTGGTAGTCTTAAACTACTTTTCTTGATACTTTGAATTAGTTGAAAATGACTTATAATGTTTAGAAGTAAAGTTTAAGAAGATATTGATCAATAACATCACACTCTGCTAGTTGAATAATGGAATAGTCCCTCCATTTTTAAATGTAAATAAATTTTAACTCGTTTACATAATTTAAAAAAAATTAGTTACTTCTAATAATTATGTCCGAAATTAAAAAGTATAATTAATGTTTATTTTTCTCTTAATTTAATAATATTATCTATTTATGAGAGATAATTTGAAAAAAATGTAATAAATGTTTTTTTGAAATTTTTAGTTGTTTAGATAAAAAATAATGAAGGATTCAATAAAAAAAAATGAAGCATATAACAGTTTCTCTTATAATAAAAAACGAAACTAGAATTTGTTAGCAAGTCTATATGCTCATACTTAAAATTTTTAGGAGATTTTTTTGGAAAAATTACATCTAAGTTTGATGTAAGAGAATTTATTATTAAATTTTTTTTATAAAATTTATAAAATACTCTCAAGTTTTAAATTTTTTACATTTATTACTTGACTAAGGATATTTATAATTGAGTAATAAGCATTTACAACTTGCTTGCAAGTTGTTATTTTCTTTTACAAGTTGTTACAAATATTGTTTATGATCCATGATAAAAAAATCCAGTTTTACAAGGAAGACCACTAATCATGGGGAGGGAAAAAGATTAATAAAGAAAAAAAAGACAATATTTAAAACTACAAAATAAATCTTGGATCATATTTTTTGTTGACCAAAAGTCAAACATTCATCCATTTTTTCTTTTAAAATAAATTTATTTAAGACAATTTTAAGTGAATTTATTTAATTATAAATAAATGGTATTGTTGTCAAAAAATTATTTCTGTTGTCTACAAAAATCATAACATATGGTCATATATCACTTGGCATAGTATTAATTTATACAATATATTATACACTATAGTATTTAGGGATAGGTAAGGTAGCGGCCTAGCCTAGTGTTTGAATGTTGGGGCCGGGTTTGACCTACTTAAATGAAATATTTTTTTTACAAAATTTAAAAATAATAAAAAAAATTTTTACATGAAAAAAATATAATTATCTTTATTTGAGATGTGAAACTAACATTAAGATGAAAAGTAATAATTTTTAAAACAATATATGATTAAAAATTATTCATTATTTTTATATATTAACTTAAAAATGATTAATAAAACATAAATCATAAAAAAATCAATAATAATCATGAAAACAAGATGATACTTGAAATATATTTAGAAATATAATATTATAAAACAATTATTCTCTACTGAAAAAATTTTTAAAAATAAAAAAATACATATATGTTTGAGCTGGTCAGGCAGGGCATGACTTGACCCCAGTCGAAGCTTGGCCCCATGCCTGAATAGCTTGGGTAGAGCTAGGTAGAGGTGTTCACAGAACGGAATAGAATCAGAACACCCTTATCTCCTGTCCTATCTTGAAAAAGGAACGGGACTAAATTTTTGACCAGTGTCTCGTCTTGACCCGAAAGTCATCTTGTCCCATTAGGAGTCAAGACGAGATCAGGACATCCCACTATCTTGATAAATCGGACAATGTGGGAAAAAAGGTTTGGATAATAACATTTATTAAAATGTTAAATCACATAATTTATTAAGTTTAAAATCAAAACAATACGAGTACATAAATTATAACAATTTAAAGTCAATTATTGAATTATATCAATCACAACTATAAGTGTATAACACATTATGATGACAATTATAAGTAATCTCTAAGCTATAAAAACAATGACAATAGATAAATTAGGCACAGTATTAAGTTATTGTTCTTCTTATTTAGTTGAGATATGCTAAGTTAATTACTCTTTTGAAAATAAAGCAAAAAATACGACATAAATAAAAGTTATTAAATAGATAAAGATAAAAATAAATTATATTAATATAATTAATATATTATAAAGAAAGATATTACCCTATATTGCTTACTCTATATCATTAAAATTATCAATAAAAATTGTACGTATTGAAATTATAATTGATATAAGTATAAATTACATTAGTATAATTAATATATTTAATATATATTTTTAAAATAACAAATAATATATATATAATATTTAAGACGGGGCGGGACTTCTCAAGAACAATCCCATATCCCATCTTGTCTCAAATTCCTTTTCTATCCTATTTTGCAAAGTTCTGTTTCAATTTTTGCGGATTGAAGCAAGACCCGTTCTATTATAATAGGGATGGAACCGGGCCAATGAAATGGGTACAAGTTGAAGACCTCTAAAGCTGGGCATACTGTGTAATTGGGCCACCTGATATAACTCTTACTCTCCTTTGGAGAGGCAGGGAGTAAAGTTGATGATATAACTCCAACGAAGCACAATGGAGGGAATTCCTTCAAGTAGCATCTAATTTGGGAATCTTTTCTAACAGGCAATGTAATGAAAGAATAAGACTTTGTAGAGAGTGAGCAATTTGATCATAATGATTTGGAAAATGTTTCTGATGAACAAGAAAGTTGTAAGGGTTATTATCAAATGGGAAAACAATCTGTTCTTGCATAACAAAAACAACCTTTGCAGCAAATGATGTAGGTCATGGATGATTTGAAGTTGGAATTTGATTAAACAATCCTCTTGTCAATATTCCTAACTTGATAAATCTCTACGGCCTTTGGGCTGTGACTCTTGATTTTGGCCACCAATTTGAAATCTTGAATCAATTCAAGACTCATGCCTTCATATTTCATGGAGATTTTTTCTGAATCAGCTTTCTTCTCTTGTTTCTTAATAACATTTGCATTAACTTCATTTGCTACCTTGACTTCTTCCATAGCTATGCTTCTAGTTACAATACAAAACCCAATTTCAGGACACCCTTAACATTGTTAGTATCCCTTTTTCTTTTTGGTACAACTGATATAGTGAAGGCTTTTTGATGATGAAACTATTTTCTTGTGCCGCGAAAGTATCAGAATCCTCTCGAGGCCTTGTAAAAGTCATCTGCATATCACTTTGTCGCCCTAAACATTTGAGAGCCCTTTAAGGCTTCATCAAACTTACTATTCAATGACGTCTTCAACTCCTGAAAGTTATGAGCCTTACGAAACTCTTCAAGGTAACTATCAGTATTATGGGACATAATAGTCCCAAACTAAGCTTTTGCTTATGAGCCTTGCCTCTCAGATTGATTGGAACAGAAGAAACATCGTGAAACAACTCAGAAAATGCAGAAAATTAGATTTTGGAAGCATTGTACGGCTGTTGCATGGCTAGAGCATGGGGTGCGTGAAGCCTGGATGCAGGGTGCTTCTTTGGCGCGTGACGGCGGCAGAAGGCGACAAAGCTTTTGGGTCTGGCTGGATTTCTAGTGATAGATGTGATGGTGGAGGCGGTTTGGTGGTATGACGTTGGGAAATGCGAATTTTGGCTGTGGCGGTGTGAAACAGAGTGTGCAGAGATTTTCTGGCAAGCTTTTTCTGTTCTCCAACGGCATAAACAACCAAGGAATGTTCAGAACCATGCTCTGATGCCCGACTGATGCAACACACACTCACATACTTGGACAAATCTAAACAAAGGAGAATATTAGGGAGACTACATGATAGATAGAGAGAAAGAGGGGGAAACAAATGGAGACAACAGGGGAGAGAAGACTAGAAGGAGGGAAAAATATGGATTACCTGAGGGAGAATAAGAAGGAAGGTGGGTGAAGAGAGACATGACAAGAGAGGGAGAAATTATCTAAGCGTCATGTACCAAATTTCATTCATCATAAATCTCCATATAAGAGGCTACGTTAGGCTATTTATAGAAAGTTTTCTTAACCAACAAGTATACCCACTTGCACATGCATACCCACTTGCAGAAGTCAATCTACCTGTGGAAATAAAACTACTTTCACAAGTAAACTTACAACTTGCTAAATAAAGTAAAAGCAAAAAGTAATAAAATATAAAATTAAGATATATTTTCTTTTATAGGAGGTTTCTTTAAAATATATCACTTCGTATATTTCATCACCCTGAAATCTAAAAGAACACTTGGCCCGATCCAAAACTTGGCCTTAACTGGCCATTTAAGGAACCGGTCAAAAACCAATACAAAACTACTAAAAACAAGGTAGTTCAACATAAAAACCAATTCACGAATTTCATGCAATGCACGGGGTCCATCCTCTTAACTTAATGAAAAGCAATGAATTAATTGTCAGATCTCCACCTACATGAGCATACACATCCATACAAGTATCCTCATATGCATGTTTGCTACATATAACTAATAAATGCTAATTCTTTCTATTTTTAAAATTTTCTTTTGAAGCAGTCATAGCCAAATGATGAGAGAAATCAATCAAGTCTTAAAGATAGAACTACAGATATCGGATATCTCGCAACATCTAGTGGGGATGCAAGCTCGTGTGAGAGAAGTGCTTAATTTGTCCAAATACTATTCAATTGATATTGAAAAAAATGTGATGATAGTAGGTATATGGGGAGTTGGTGGAATTGGCAAAACAACTCTTGCCAGAACAATTTATGATACAATTGGTGGCAGTTTTGAGTGTAAAAGTTTCCTTGAAAATATCAAGAATGTCTGGGTGAAAGATAATGGTCAAGTTTGTTTGCAAGAACAACTTTTTTCAGATATTTCCAAAGCAAAACATGTGAAGATACTTGACACTGGAATGGGAATCATACAATTGAAGAAAGTACTACAAAATAAAAGGGCACTTGTAGTACTTGATGATGTTAGTGAAGTAGACCAACTCATAACATTGTGTGGAGGTTGTCAATGGTTTGGTTTCGGGAGTATGATACTATTTACAGCTAGAAATGAACATCTACTTGCTCAATTTAAAGCCACATATTTCTATGAAATGAAAAGCATGGATGAAAGTGAATCTCTTGAACTGTTCAGTTGGAATGCATTCAAGCAATCTAGTCCTAGAAATGGTTTCATTGATCTTACTGAAAGAGTTATTACTTATTGTGAAGGATTACCACTGGTTCTTCAAGTCCTTGGTTCTCTTCTGTTTAATAGGACAAAACTGGAGTGGGAAAGTGTGTTGAAAAAGTTGAATAGCATTCCCACAGGTAGAATACAAGAGAAACTCAAAATAGGCTATGAATATTTAGATCATTCGGTGAAAGATATATTTTTTAATATAGCTTGTTTTTATGTGGGTGGGGAAAAACAATATGTCACACAAAAATTAAGTGGCTTTCAATTTCCTGTAGAAACTGGAATAAGCATGCTCATTGAGCGAAGCTTTTTAAAAGTAGACATGAATAACAAGCTTGATATGCATGATTTGTCGCAAGAGATTGGAAAGGAAATCAATCTTAACAAGCCAAAACCAAAACATACTTATGAGGTGTTCTTGAGCTTTAGAGGTGAAGATACACGTAGGTCTTTTGCTACTCATCTTTATGCTGCATTGGAAAAGGCTGGTGTTGCAGTTTTTATGGATAGTGAAATTAAAGGAGGAGAAAATATCTCATCGTCACTTATTCAAGCAATTGAAGGCTCCAAAATGTCTATCATTATCTTATCAATCAATTATGCCGGTTCAAGTTGGTGTTTGCAAGAACTAGAGAAAATTATGGAGTGTCACAGAAATGTTGGTCAAGATGTTTTACCAATATTCTATCATGTGCAACCATCAGATGTTCGTAAGCAAACTGGTGCTTTTGGAAGAGCATTGGAAACACTCACAACGAGAATCTCAAGTAACATACACAAGAAATTGAGTTGGACAAGGGCACTCAAGGAAGCTGCCAACTTATCTGGATGGGATTCGCATCATTTTAGGTAAACTCACTATTCTTTTGCTCATATACTATCAAAAATTCAGTTTCTTTTTGTTTATACTGCCTTTGATAACGACACTGTTTTCTTTCTAATTTTGAGGATAGTTTTAAAAATTGATGAAATTAAAACAATGCTATTGGAGTATTTTACTGTTGACCCTCAAACTTATCTCAAATTCAATTTGGCCTTCATTGTCTTCATTAGACTTGTTGTTGTTGTTGTTGTTGTCTTCATTAGACTTCTACCGGTGTGCTGTTGCATGCTAGATACATGTGGTCAATTTTGTGCCATCTCAGTACTGGGAACATGCATAAGTGCGTTCAATTCAATAGTTCAAAGATTGGTCTAATTTGTAAAATATTGGATAAAAGCCACCATAAACCAAATTTCTTTTCCCATATTCAAATATATAAAAATTGAAATCATAGAAATGTAAAGTTTACAATATTAACATTATTATAAATTTCTAAATAATATTTGTGTTGGTAGGAAGCATATATAATAGATAGAAAGGGAATGAGTAATGACTAAGATTGTAATTAAAGTAATCTAGTATAGAAGACTTTTTTTGTGAACCAAAGATAGTGTCAGCATCTCACCAAAGAAAAGCAAAAAAATTGGTCATTTTTTCATACTCATATTGCTTAACTCTGAATTTTTCTCCTTTAATTTTTATGTTCTATGAATTGTATGGAGCACTCACTAGATTTTCCTCTAATCTAACTTTCCATTTCTTTAACTAGAACCGATGCTGAGTTGATTGATAATGTTATTGAAACTGTTACCAAGAAGCTAGACAACAACACATATTTGTTTGTTGCTCAACATCCAGTGGGAGTGAAGTCTCGCTTACTAGAAATCGTCCAATTGTTAAGTAGGAAATCAAATGAGATTATGTTTGTAGGGATTTTTGGTATGGGAGGAATTGGCAAGACAACTATTGCCAAAGCCATTTACAATGAAATTGGTCGAAGCTTTGAGGGTAAAAGTTTCCTTAGAGATATTAGGCAAGTTTGGGAGCAGAAAAATGGTCAAGTTTATTTGCAAGAACAACTTCTTTTGGATATTCTAGAGACCAGAAGGATGGCAGTTCATAGCATTGAATTGATAATGAAGGAAAGGTTTTGCCATAAGAGGTCACTTATTGTACTTGATGATGTAAATAATGTTGACCAACTCAATGCTCTATGTGGAAGTCGTGCATGGTTTGGACCAGGCAGTAGAATAATAGTCACTACTAGAGATGAGCATATACTTAAGATCCTTCAAGCAGATAATAGATACAATATGAAAGAAATGGATGACAATGAATCTCTTGAACTTTTTAGTTGGCATGCATTTAAGCAAGCAAGTCCAGAACAAGATTTTGTTGATCTCTCGAAAAGGGTCATTGCTTACTCTGAAGGACTGCCACTAGCTCTTGAAATCCTAGGATGTTGTTTGTTTGGCCGGCCAGTACAAGCTTGGGAAAGTGTCTTGGACAAATTACAAAGAATTCCAAATGATCAAATACATAAAAAGCTAAAAATAAGCTATGATGGCTTGAGTGATGATATGGAGAAAGATATATTCTTGGATATATGCTGTTTTTTTATTGGTAAGGATAGAAATTATTGTGCACAGATATTAAATGGCTGTGGACTTCATGCAGAGATTGGAATTACTCGACTAATGGAGCGAAGCCTTGTAAAAGTTGACACTAATAACAAGCTTGATATGCATGGCTTATTACGTGACATGGGAAGAGAGATCGTTCGTGAAAAGTCACCAGATAAGCCTGAGAAACGCACAAGATTGTGGATGCACAATGATGTGATTGATGTGTTAAGAAACCATGTGGTAAGGATGTTCTTTCAATGAGTTTCCTGTTCCATAATGTAAGATTTAATAATGTGTTTTGTCATTACTCTATATGTACTCACTACCTTGTGGTTGCTAATTATAGTATTCAAACCCATATTATAGTCTGCTTAATTGCATTACCCAAAAAAGCAAGGTTTTCTGTTCCTCCTTTTTTCATTTTGCGCTTCATTCATAGGGAACCATTGCTATCAAGGGGCTGGCTCTGAATTTGTCAAGAACCAATACACTTTCCTTTGATGCAACTGCATTCATGATGATGAAGAGACTTAAATTGCTTCAACTTGGCCATGTAAACTTTGAAGGGAACTATGAATGTCTATCGAAAGAGTTGCGGTGGCTTTGTTGGCATGGGTGTTCTTTAAGTTACATGCCTGAGAATTTTTATCAAGAAAATGCAGTTGTTATCGACTTAAAATATAATCATCTCATAGAAGTATGGAAGAAGTGCCAGGTATTCTAAATGACATTTTAAAATTCAAAATTACTTATAATAGTTGTAGTTTATTTTATTCTTTCTAAACATTTTTGAATTTTATTTTTTTTTTCATTTCAGCTGATGGAAAAGTTAAAAATTCTCAATCTAAGTCATTCATATGACTTGAAGAAGACGCCCAACTTTTCAAAGTTGCCAAATCTTGAAAAGCTGATTCTTAAAGATTGTCCACGTTTGTCTTCGATTAATGAATCCATTGGAGATCTGAAATGCTTGATTTTGGTGAATTTGAAGGATTGTAAAGATCTTAGTGATTTGCCTAGAAGTTTATATAATTTGAAATCACTGAAAACTCTCAATATTTCTGGTTGCTCAAAGATTGGAAGACTAGAAGAAGGTATCAAGCAGATGAAATCCTTGACAACTCTTCTTGCAAAAGAAACTGCTATAACACAAGTTCCCTCTTCATTGGTGAGATTAAAAGGCATAAAATATGTGTCATTATGTGGTTATGAAGGATCATCACATGATGTATTTCCTCCTCTCATTTGGTCTTGGATGTCCCCAACAAATAATCCAAGATCCCTCATTCATACATTTGCTAGCATGCCATTTTTATTAAGAAATCTATTTCGTAGTCTTTCTAACCAAAGTAGTCAAAAATTGGAAACAAGACCAAGCACATCCCTATTGTCAACTGCAAAAACTCCAGCATTAATTAGCTTTCGTGAACAAGCTGACAATGCAGAGGCTGAAAATTTCTTGAGTTCCCTTACTATTCAAGTGGGAGGATTTAACAGAATTGTTGATGCGTTACTGAAGAGAATCCCGCAGGTTTTGTATTTATCTCTTAAATATTATAGCTATTGCTTTTATCATTGCATAATCAATATGTAAATAATCATTTTTATCATGAACTATATTGGTATCCATACACAAGGTTGTGTTAACTGTACACTGTCAAATGGTGCTAGACTACAATTGCTCAAGATGTTGGAGTTGCTTGTTCAGGGTGCTAGACTACACACTGTTTCTATTAATGGATGGTTAACAAGAACTGTTACTGACACTTGAAGAATTTATTACAGTGCACAGATAAATTTAATTCCTTAATCTATAATGGAAATTCACCATATTTCAATACAATATTGACCTTTTCTTCTCATACAGTGTCTCTATGTGCATGCGTGTGTATTGTAGAGTAATTATAAATTTTTTTAATAAAAATGTTAAGATTGTTTTAATTATTCTCTGTATCACTCTTCAGGTGGGTGGATGTGTTCTTAATCAATATACCTCTAAAAGCTAAAACAGAAGTGATTGGAAAGTGTGATCATTAGGCGTTTTTCATTAGTGTGATCATTATATAAAGCCTTTGTAAGTATTGCAACAGGTGACTTTGTGTGGCCTTTTTTCTCAATTAAATAGAGTGCCTCTTTTCTTATGTTCATGGAATAGGGATGGAGAGATGAAGGACTTGGTTGTTCTCTTCCTGGAGACAATTATCCTGATTGGCTAGCTTTTGAAAATGAAGGTCCCTCAACATCATTTAAAGTGTCTCAAGTTGTTAGTCGTTGTTTAAAAAGGATGATCATCTGCATTATCTATTCATCCCGAGGTAGCATGACATCTGTATATCCTGTTAGTGTCATGATAAAGAATTTCACAAAGGCTACCATCAAGGTTTACCAGAGAGATGCTGCAACTACTGGTGATGAGGAATGGGAAAACATTATATCTAGTTTTGGGCCTGAAAATGAAGTGGAAGTTGTAGTTAATTTTGCACATAAATGCACTGTGAAGAAGACTGCTGTTTATCTAGTATATGAAGATGAAATTGACAACAAATGGTTTGAGCATCAATGAAAGAATCATCAAACAGCGCTGAATCTCTGACCATATACATGGGAGGTTTGTATTTTGTTTGTTAATTGAGGTTGTCATGGCTTATGACCCCCCAACCTCCACTTGTTCTAAAAATGATGTTTGTTTTCATCTAGGATTAATCTCACAACACTCGGACAGAAGAGGGTAATACAGATGACAAATGCTTTGGGATTCCTTTATTTTTCAAGCTTTTTGTAATTTGCTGGGGAGAGAGAAAGAAGCATCTTCATTTGTCAGACTCTTAAGACAAAGCAAGGGAAGGGTTCCCAATTTGCAATTGCTAGCATGGCTGCTTGGAGAATGTAGCATACGGGTAATTACCCTTCTTAATATCATATATAGAAATTGTTATTTTTAAGAAGGGGTGTTTGATTAGGGGAGAATTAGCCTATAGTATATAATTCATATCATATATGTTGAAGGGTAAATGAGCAAATTACCCCCTGATCTTTAGGTCCAGTAGCGCCATAAACCTTAAACTCGTAAATTGTGCAAATTATTCTTTTAACTTTTGAAAATGGTGCAATTTAGCACTTTTGACAGTTAGTTGACCAGAAAATACTAAAAAAGGATTTCAAAAATTATAGAAAAGAACCAAATTTTTTTGGTCATTTTCTATAACTTTTTGGGTTCTTTATTATACTTTTTGATCCTTTTGTATAATTTTTGAGACCTTTTTTTTATCATTTTTTGGTTAACTAATGGTCAAAGTTAACTTTGGTTAATGATAAGGCCAGATTGCACTGTTTTCAAAAGTTGAGGGAACAATTTGCACAACAAATAAGTTTAATGTCTATGGTGCTACTTGACCTAAAGTTTAGAAAATAATTTGCTCATTTACCTCTTGTTAAATAGGATCAAGATTATGTATATGTAAATGATCTCCAATTCCTTCTATCTGTGATGGCCGTAGATTATGAGAGAGAATAGATAAAACCTGACTCTGCACTAAATTTTTTTCTCCTTTCTCCTACTGAAGACAAAAATGAGTAGAAGCTTCGTTCTGATATCACTTGTACATGCAGAATTCAAATTTTTTTCCTCGGGTTGAGGAGAACATGCTAAAAGCAAGAAGAACATATAGGAGTGCTGTTTGAGGTAACTTTTATTGCTAAAATGTCTAACCTCTAGATACATGCCCATTAGTTGATAGGTGATTTTGCAGCCCTTGGATGATGATGTGTGCTGCACTTTGGACAGCTTTTGGGGTCTGCATTTATTACTCTTCTTGGTTGAGAATTTGATGATTGTGCATCACATTATTAGTTGAGGACCTTGTAGTAGAAGCGCAAGAAAAGGTAAGCCATAGTGAATTTGACAGTATTAGGAAATAAATGTGAATTGCTGTACCAGTGACACACATTCCTTCCCAATCTCAACAGAGGAATTCAACCCATCATCAGTTCTCAAGTCCTTAGTGATTTGTTTCTCTGGTGAAGCACTTCAATTCAAGCTTAAGCACTTCAATTATATCGCATGTTGCTTGTCTCACAAGGCTAATTTAGTTTTGGGGTTGGGGAGCAAGCTTCTCTGGGTAAGATAATTAAGATAATTGTCTTCTGCGATCATCAGTCTGGCCATTATATGGATTACTATTAGAGAAAATCAATCTACAAGTCTTTATAGTTTCCTCTGTTTTGAATAAGGACCCTATAGTTTATTTTGTTTTACTTGTGCTTTTATAGTTTAATCCATTGGATTTTTTTAATCCCTGAAGGTTAAAGTCCTTGAGTTTGCTATAAACTTTAGAAGTATTATTGTTTTAGAAAAGTTAATCATTTATCAATAATTTTAACCCTCAGGGATTAACATATCTCATGGATCAAGCTATAAGGATTTGTTAAAATAAAATAAATTACAGGAATCTAATTCAGAATTGAAAGAAACTATAAGGGCCTATGAATTCTCTTACTATTATTTGTTTATCTTCCACTGAAGAAGGATTGGAATGCCACGGTTTGGTTATTGGGCTTTGACTTCTTTATGTTGCTGAGCAGGCACTTGCTGTGCTCTATTCATATGTGAATAAACTTCTCACATACACAGCTCCCTTCAATCATGAATTGAAACAACTTTGAAATTCATATTTTGCATATGGAATCAGACCCCTTTTGTTGAACCTTCTATCTGCTAGAACCAAATACCACACTAGCTTGAAGTGGGTATTAATATCATAATTGTTAAAAATAGAATCAAGATTCAAGGTTATGTATATGTAAATGATATCCAATTCCTCCTACTTTGTGATGGCCATAGATTATATGTGTGAGAGAGAATAGAATAAAACTTGAAGCTTTTGCATTTGGTATATGTTTTTTTCTCCTCTCTCCTGCTGTTAGAAGACAGATACGATCATGCGAATAGAATTTCGCAAGCTTCATCTCTCTCTCGTTTTTTTTTTTTTTTGGAGAAAGGGATCCCACCAGAGGCTCATTTATGTTAGTGCGATTATAAATAGACTGCATTTCAGATACAAGAAAGTTCACACAATTCTCAAGGGTTCATGAACATCATAAAAATTACTCTTAATATTGATAGCCGTCCAATCAGCACATATATTTGCTTTCAACTTCACATGCTTCATGGAGAGCTCCCATCCAATGTTTTAAAAAGCAAGATAGGACCAGAAAGGTTAGTGGATCATAATTTTTATGGTTCAATTGATAGTCCAAACCGATAACTTAATAATTAAATAAAAATAAAATAAGATTTATATATTTAATTTTATATATTTGATATACTTTTATTCAATCTAATTGACACGTGAATTTTAATGTGGTAGTAATATTAATAAAAATAATTTATTATAGAATAAATAATCTATAAAATATATACATGTCTTAATTTAATTGAAAACAAGTGCATTAAGCATAAAATGTTAAGTATATTAGTTTTTCTCAAAAAATAACACACACATATTATATAAACTTATAAATTCTAAATTAATATTTGTATGTTTCAACATAAAGAATAAATTTTAAATATGAATAACAAATTTAAAAAAATTAAAGAAATACAAGATATTGATTTGACTTAATTTAATTTTTTTTAGGTAAATTAAGTCTTTAAAAAAAAAGGAACAATTACATAGAGGCCCTGTGGACTAAATTTATACAAAAAAGTCCTACAAAATTTAGAAACCACAACCAATTTCTCTGGACCTAAGTATGAGTTGAAATTGGAGTGCAAAAACAATACTATCTTTACTTGTAACGCATGATCAATTTAATTATTAGATATGTGAAATTATAGTTGTAAAAAGTTAGAGTGATAGTTATAAATTATTGGTGAAATAGTTATAAACAATTAGTGTTAAACTTTGTTGCAATGTTTGTATTGATTTGACTATTAGATATATAAATTATAACTGTAAAATGTTGATACTGCAGTTGTAAAATACTGATGGGATAGTTGTATATGCAATTATTATTAAACTTTATTAGTAACGTATGATTAGTTTAACTATTAAATATATGAAGTTATAATTATAAAATATTGAAGTGATAATTGTAAAATATTGATGAGGTAATTGTATACAATTAGTATTAAACTTGTAACACATGTTTAGTTTAACTATTGAATATATGAAGTTATAGTTGTAAAAAATTGAAGTGATAGTTGTAAATTATTGATGAATTAGGCGTAAATGATTTTATTGATGTAATATATTTTTAATAGAGGTATTATTGTCTTTGCACTTCAATTTCAAATTATACTCAAGTCCTAAAGGACCTACTTGTGATTTTTAAATTTTGTAAGATTTTATTTGTAAATAAGCATGCTCTTTGAGATTTTTACATAATTTTTTCAAAAAAAAAATAATGATTCACTATCAATAAAATTCATTTTTTGATGCCAACTGCCAAATTCAGGATTCCTTTACAAAAGTAGATTTTTAAGTGTTTTCATTTTTAGATGGAACACTCGCACACTTTTCTCTCAACTTTCTATGGTCGATTTTAGTATGTAAGATTTTAGGATTCTTAATGACCCATCTACTGGATGTAAGAATCTTTTATTATTTGATTGAATCCAATTTTTTATTTTCCTTCACAGTTTAATTAGCCATGGCTTTGAAATTCAAAAAAATAAAAAGTTAAAATAGTTTTGGATTTTTTTTGAATATAAGGTTATGTAAAGAACCATACAAAAGTTATAAAAATTATGTCATATCATGTCAAAATTCAAGATGATTCTACATCCTATAAGTGTTCATTAAAAACAATAAAATTTAAATTGTCTTGAGAAGCTTGATGCACTAACATGTCAGCACATTTGTTAACTTTTATAAAGACGTGATCAAAGGTGATTGTCCAATCTTTTATTGTAAACTCTCTGATTTTCTTTCATTTTGGAGTTTTAACTCTTCTCAAAAGAGGTGCATCCACTGGATTAATAAATGGGAAGGGATTCAGTATTTTTAAGTAAGAGTTTAAATTTAAGTCTTATAAGTAAGATTTTAAATTTAAGTCTTATAAAAATTTCATTGATTTGTCAATAAAAGTGACCTTCGTTTTTATTAAAAATCACTTATAACCACTTTATAATAACTAAAAACAGATGGTAAGGTAATTGATTGGTATAAAAATTTGATTGATTTAAAACCATGCATTGGAATTTGAGTATGACGGATAATTAATAAAAGAAATAGAAAGAATAAAATGCATCTAACTTTAAATAGGGACAATTTTAAAAAATAATTAATAACACATATTATATTAAAGATTATCTATTTTTTTTTATAAAAGGCTTCTTATATAGGATGAATTATACTCTCTCCAATTTTTAATATAAGACAAGGTCAATAAACTTTACACTTATTAAAAACTGTTAGTTATAACCTTAAAATTTTTTTAAAAAAATGCAACTTTCCAATTTTTCTCTTCTTTATAATAAATTATTGTTTAGAAATTCAAATGACAATAAATATTAAAAAGGTAAAATTAGAAAAAAGAAAGCATTAATTACTCTAATTTTGTCTTATATTTAAGATAAAAAAACTTTCAAATCATTATATATATAAAAATAGGGTTAAAGGCTACAAGAGGATACTACTTGTCCATTTTGAGGTTTGTTGCAATTTTGTACTTCAAAATATCTTTCATGGGATTATGTGGTTCAGAGTTAGGTTTGGAGTTAGGTTCATGCTAATTATTATTTTTTAATGTATATAAAATATGTTATTTATATTTGGAGTTAGATGTGGGATGACTTATTAATTTTCAATAAAAATTATTTTTTTTCTTATGTGAAAGTCAAATCTCATCATATTTGAATTCAAATTAATATCTATCTATTTAAAATTGTCATCCACTCTAAAGATATGTTGAAAATCTAAATTCATATGATCAAGTGTGTGTGTATATATATGTGTGTGTGCAAATATATTAGAATTAAAATTTAAACTAATATTTATCTATCTAAATATTTAGAAAAAGGAATATGTGTTTGAATATTTAGACCTATCCTCATGATTTTAGAGAATTATAAATATGATAAAGTATTAATTTATTTAACAATAAAGTATTTAGAACTACCGTTTGTTATTTATGGAGAATATTAAGATGTTAAATTTTGGATAATACTAATATGTTGAAAAGGCCCTCGTGAAGTTTGTCAAAATTCAAATGCATTAAATATCTATACTCACAAAAATAAATATTTAATATCTATCATCTTGATGTTTTAAAAATAACCCCTTAATTTTTCCTCCCAATTTAGCCTTATTCAATTATAAATTATTAAATTAGGTCAATAGCACATTTTATACCTTTACGTCTTTCTTACTTCTCTAATTGTGTTTGGTTTATTCTCCTCTTGACTATTATTTACACTATCAATGGCTTCTATATCTAAGATGCATGCAATTCATATCATTAATACAATAAAAAAGAATTGGCGCATTGTGGTTAGGGTGATTAATATTTAGAGACTGCTAGGTAAAAATATATCTAAAGAATTCAATGATGTTGAATTGATCTTCCAGGATGTTTGAGTAACTGTTTATATGTTTTTTTTATTGTTTTTTTTATAATTTGGATCCCATCAATTGCATTTAATATATAATACTTATCTTATTTATAGGACAACATTACTATAGGGTGGTTGGATCTCTGCACTCATTTAAAAGCTTTTTATGAGATGTTTTGTAAATATGTTACATGTCTCTCAGTACTCTAAATCATATCGAATAATGGATCATCCTTATAAGTTTTGCTTCATGTTCTTTATGTGAAGTTGTGTTTGAGATGGATTTCATCCATCCATCATTTGGGTTTAATTTTATTAACATTCTAGAACTTACAGATAGAGAGGCAATGAATGATAATTATTTAGTTGGTATGTATTTAAACTTTCTAAATTTGTTCTTTAAAAACTCTATTTAGCACGTTTAAGATAATACGCTATCTTAATTCTTTATTATCAATTCAAAAACTTTAATTATGGACTGTCTAATATTATTTAATATATAAAGATTGTGTACATATATTAAATAATCTTATTTTATATAACAAGTTTTTCATTATATTATATAATATATGAAATTAGTTTAAAATAATTAAAAAGTAAAGTAACGGCAATTTTATTTAATATGTCAAGTTTTTAAAAATAATAAATTATTTATTTAATATATGTGACTCGCTTATCAAATAACAATTTTGAAAGAATTATTTATCCTTTCAAACCAATTTATTTGATAGGTTCAAAGTATAAAGTTAGGTTTGGAATCACATATCATTTTCATATATTTTTATTTTATTTTAATTATAGTTATCTATTTGAATTTCAAATCAAACAATTTAAAATGAAGTAATTATTTTTTTATTATCGGACAATAATAAAATTGAATTTTAGTCACATTTTGACTGGTGTGGTTTGAAAAATAAAATAATAAAATATATAAATTTATTTATTTTAATCAATTTAAATGGATACAAAAATTATATAAATTTTGATTTTTACAAAAATATATTATATCATTTTAATCAATTTAAATATAAATACTAATTCTAATCAATTAAGATTTTTTAAAATTTTAAATTTTTTATTTATATTATTTATATTTGTTTGTTTTAGATATTACAGTATAGTATTTTTAAATTTAATTATTTTTTAACC